ATATATAATAATAATAATAATAAAAAAAAAATATTTAATTGTGGATGAGATGGTCATGGAGCTTACAGAATTCATTTGAAACAATCACTAGCCATCATTACTGTTACAATCTAGTTACCAAAATGAGGTTTTTTAAAATACTTATCTTTGAGAAGTGGAATTCATCGGTGTTCATTCTAGAAAAGAACTTGTACATTAAATTGACGTACGTAAAATCTAAACTGGTAAGGTAACACTAACCACATTCTATAAACTCATAGTACTTTTAGTGTGTATATAAGTTACTTCTAGAATCATTGAAGAATGTGACTAAAAGTTTTGGAAATCTACACTGTACCTTTTTGTTCAAAACCTCTACAGAGATTGCATTTGCAGACTGAGTTTGAAAAGAAAAAAAAAGAGTTGAATTTTCAGACCTTATCGAGCATGATTCCAAGCAATAGTTTCCAACACAATTAATTGTTTTCATACTATTTAAGCTCAAAGCGATGTTATGCGTTTTGAAGACAATTCAACCAAACTGAGTCAGAATGGACATTATACATTTGACCGTTGAATAATAAATCCAACAAAAAAGGAACTCATTTTCTTCTACCCAAGAAAATACGTAGCAGCCTTTCCTCTCTCTTAAAAAATTACCACTTCATTTTTTATTGATTTTATTCATGATTTTTTTTATAGTAAAATTTAACTACTTGGTTTCAGTGGGATATTTGTTAAGAAGACGTAGCAGACAATTTGATAAAGTAATTCATTTACAAGATTTTGTTAATAACACATTTAAGCCTAAAATATAGCTAATGATATCATTTCTAGAACACAACCATATCCTTTCAATATTTGGATAAAATCATATCTTCCGAATATTAAGAGAATAATTTTCTTTACAGAGTATTAAAAGATAATAATATTATTATGATATGACACAATTACAAAACTATTTTTGGATAGACGTGTAGACTAGAAGTTCTTCAGCCTCAATTGTCACGGCAGGAAAGACTGAATTTTGTATTATCTAAAGTTGTTTCCACTACATAATTAGTCAATTTTAATAAAATAATATGAGGTAAACTATCGTATTCAAAAATACAATAATATTATTAATATATTATATTTGGTTTTGTGTTTTTGGAATACGAATTTAGATTATTGACTGAATTTTTTATATTATATATATAGTTAAAACTATACAAATTTTGATATTTAAAAATATATTATAAAATTTTTTACTGAATGCACATAAGGGGTAATATAAAATCTACACTCCAGAAATACACAAAAAATAATTATACCAACAAATCATGAATCAATTTATATGACAGGTTTTTAATATCATCTTCTAACACCAATAAAATCTTAAAATAATAAATTTATAAATATTTATATATTAATTAAATTTTTTATTTCTATTTAAGGTGATATTTTTTTTATAAAAATATTATTATTAGTACTGGTAAAAAAATAAAAAATAAAAAATAAAAAACAAGAAAAGGTTAATATCATGTTAAGTAAAAAGAAATAAACAAATTTAATAGAGTTGCGAAAATTATTAATTAATTTTAAGAAAATGTTAATTAACATTACAGAGACTAAAACAAAAACTAGTAACCATATCTTATTATAACATAATCATATCTAAAAATATCAATAACAAATTTAAATCCTTTTAACTATAAGAAGACTAAGTCATGTAAGGAAAAACTAATATCAAAGAGGTCTAATTAATTGAAAATGATTTTAAGTTGAATATTGTATGGTATATAGATAGAGCAAACAATTAACATTTGTAACAGTTTATCTATTATTTGGTCAACAATCAAGCAGATTAAATGTTGAATAATTGTTTAAGTTATTAATATTGGATCATAATTGGACCCACGTTCAAGATATTGTTATTGGACCAATGATTTGGACAAATAAACATATTAATAAGTTAACAACAGAATGATTAAAGATATTCATTAAATATATTCATTAAAGATATTGATAACTGATTGCAAGATAAGGAGATTGTTTATGAGTAACAAATCGAATTTAGATGTAAGTTGTTTTATTGGACCTATACCAATTTAGGATCCAGGAAATAACTTATAAATAGAAGGTTAAGTCGCAAAGGTAAGGGTTGAACTAATTCTTAGTATTCACTTTCTATTGAATATTATCACTATCATCATACAAAGTGGCGTGAGAGCGTCTTTTGCAGGTATCTCGACAGCAAAATAGTGTGTCTCTTGACCCTACACAGTTATATACGTGAACAAATATCATTCAATTTTTAGCTACTTGTTTATACACTAGTGTTAATTTAACAATTATTTGACTTAGGTTTTAGAAGGGGGAAGACCAAGTTTGAGGTACAGCGTGGTCTTATTCATACGTTGATTTTGTAGAACGTGTAAGTCTTGGTCCTATCAAATGCTCATGCTAAGGACCCAATATAAACATCTACACAGGCTTTCCACTTCTCCCAACTTTAACCCTACTCATAAGCCGAAACAGATACTTCTGATCAAAGCACCTTCCAAAAGTTTGCTGAATTAGAATCAGAATCTTCAGAGACTCAGATAACATGGCAATTGGTTTCATGCAGGTACATCTTGTCAAAGCAAAGGGTCTGCACAACTCTGATATCATAGGTATCTAACAACTCACTTTGCTTTATATTTTTGTTGTAAAACTCTTTTTCTTTTCTTTAAAACTCAAATGAATGGATAAAAAGTTTGTATTACATGTTTAAATCAGTAGCTTATAAAATAGTTTTAACAAGGTTTTCTGTTGTATTGTTTACTCATTTACTTTTGTTGATAGGTGAAATGGACCCCTATGTTCTGATACAATACAAAGACCAAGAACAAAGGAGCAGTGTTGCCATTGGTATGTTCTGCTGTAACCACGTCAATATTTTTAATCTCCCTTAAGACAATCTACCTTCTTTTTCCCTGCTTTGTTATATTTTAATACAGATAGATACCTTTCAAACAGTGCATAAGATATTTCTGGTGAAATCATTACTTAAATACAGAGACCTTTCGATTATGAATGATTTAGTTAAATTGTTTTCTTTTGCATAACTAATAATGATAAGAAATGTGATTACAGTTCTGTGAGGCTTATGGTTTTAACCTTTAATGGTGTGTTGTGCATGCAGGTCAGGGCAAAAATCCAGTATGGAATGAGAAATTCATGTTCAAAGTAGAATACCCTTTATCAAATCATCAACACAAGATCATCTTAAAAATTATGGACCAAGACTTATACACAGATGACTTTGTTGGAGAATCCATGTAAGACGTCATTATATATAATTCATTATTTTCTTAATACAAGTTTTTATATATAATTGTAACTTAGGCTCACTTTTAAGACAAATTTGTTTTATCATGTAGAATCCATGTAGGAGATTTATTGGCTCAAGGAGTGGACGATAGAGAAGCTAAACTACAGACTCTCAAATATAGAGTGGTTCGTGCAAACAAATCTTACTGTGGTGAAATTGATGTTGGTGTTACTTTCACCCTACAGGTATTTTTCACATTTTTCTCAAGTGTAAATGTATGTTACCACTGTAACATTTTTACAACTGAGTATAAATAGTTTTCAATTGATCCTTTGTTTCACATTTATTACAAACCAGAAAGTTTAAGACTTTATAAACCTATTTTAAGATTTTAGGTTAAAAGTAGTATTAACTCTATCAAATCTCATCTTTGTTACGTCTAATCTTCTATTCGAAAAACCTATCAAAACTTATGTTTTCTAACTGGTTGGTTTTGATCTTTGTTGAAACTCATGCAGGTGGCAGACCATTATGCAGAACGTGACCACTATCTACCACAGATTACCAAGGATATAGGATGTAAAAAATCTAAGTAGATGTTTTGGATTGTAGTTGCACTGTGTAATAGATTCAATCATTTATTTTCCATTGCACATTATATTTCATTTTTTAATTCTTTTAGCAAGATACATTTAATAAATTGTTGTTCTATCAAATCAGTTTGTACTATTCCTCTAATTTATGTTAATTAAATGGTTTTCATTATTCCAGATCTCAGTATTAGCTAGTTTAAATACAAGTCATATAAATCCTATTTAAATATTTAATTTATCAAATCATTATTAATAACAAGTAGCCGTCTTAGCTCAGTGGTAGAGCGCGTGGCTTTTAACCACGTGGTCGTGGGTTCGATCCCCACAGACGGCGTTTTAAGTTGAAATTTTGATTCTTTTTACCAATTTTTTTGTTGTATTGTAAAAGCTTGTTGTTGATTCGTTTATGTGCTTCACGGTACAACCACTTCATTCATGGACTTCACGTCACCACCACCACCATATTCACACCTTCAGTAATGAAAATTCCAGTTCCAACATTCATGAGATGATCATGAATGTTCCAACATTCAAACCCAAGACACATTCTCCACCGTCCCAATCAACCGCACATTCTCACTATAAATTTACCACTTCCACTTTTGATGTTTGTTTTTCACTCTTTTAATTTAAGGGTCTTCATCATCGTATCATGTTCAACCCCCTCTAATTTTGTAGCTAACTATACTCTTTAATGTCACCCACTAACAACCAGTTTCTGTATTAATAATATACATCACTACCTTTGCTCCCCTTTATATATGAACTTCTTCACTGCTTCCAACTTCCCCACACCAAAAATATATACTTTTTTACCTAAATGTCAAAGAGCTCCTTCGGATTCACATAAAGCTATGAAATTTGAAGACTATCTCATGGAGAAAAGCCAAGAGCCTCACAATAGACATGGCCTTGAGAAAGAGGTGAGTGAGAGTACATAGCTCAGGATATGTTTGAATAATGTTTTCTGAGTATGATTTCCTTTATTTCGTATGTTGTCGTAGGTTGTTCAATTGCAAGCACAGTTGAAGTGTGAAGAGGCACTCAATAGGATCCTACGTTGTGCTCTTCATGGACCTGTTTTTTCTCTTCCACTCATTCCTCCATTGTTTCCACCTCAGGTATAGTAAAAACAAACACATAACATATATAGACAAATAGCATAAGGTATATATTTAATGTTCCTTTTTTTACATGGTATATTACATTGGACTGTTTTGGCTTAAGTGATTGCAGATTCGGGAGCTTCTTCAAGAATTGGCAAGGGTTGAGGAAGAGATCATCATGCTAGAAAGAAAAGTTCAGGAACTGAAACTTAGATTGTTCCAGGACAGGTACCAGAACATAGATTTGGAAATACAGCACAGGAGACAACAGCCTAAATTATATAAACAGTTCCGAGGATCTTCAAGGTATGGTTCAATGATAACCGAGCAGAGGTCAAGTTCTCTCGATTATGAAGTGATAAGTAAAGAAAGAAAGATAAGCAACAGAAGAGCCTCTCTAGGTTCTGCGTTGGATTTTCACAGCTTATTTTCCACACCAAGAAGATCAACAGGTAAACATATAACACAATAGAAGAGCCTCTCTAAGATGCTTTCATGAGTGACTATAAAAATGCTCTTTGATTCCTATTTTCAGACATCCTTATATTGTATAAGTCTTTTAAACAAACAAGAACGCATTTGGCTTTTTTTTTTTTTATTTTTCTGTGGGCCAATTTTCACATTGTGGTTTGGATATTTGTCGACAGAATATGAAGTGCCAAGAAGGAGTAGTGGTAAGATAGCAAGAGAGTACCCTATCCTTATAGAAGATGCCATTGAAAAACCAAATGAAATGTCAGAGGAACTGCTCAAGTGTCTCATAGGCATTTTTCTGGAATTAAACAAAGCATCATTGGACAGAGAAGAATCAGAAACTGTCCCTAGACTCACTCTTCCATGCATGAAGCCCACTGGCTTGATAGCAAAGACCTCATCAAACAACAAGGCACCTTCAAATAGCAATGTCTCAAGTCTTGATCCTTATGGCATAACATCAGATTTGGATTGCACAGCAAGAGATGTAGGACCTTACAAAGACTTCATTCAGATCACAAGGAGCTCATTGGACATAGACCGCTTTTCACAATGCCTACCAGCATTCAGGAAATTGAGGTTGATTTTGAAGTGTTTAAACATTGCCCACATGTTATAGTGTTATTCTACCTTCTCTGCCCATTTCTTCTTATCATCTATGTCCTCTTTTGTAGGGTGTTGATGCATAAGCTATGTGATGTGGATTTAAGTTTCTTGACCTACAAGCAGAAGTTGGCCTTCTGGATCAACATCTACAATGCCTGCATAATGAATGTACTGTAAGGCATTTCATTTCAATCAAGTCTTCATTGACATCATCTTATCAAACATCTCTTCGTGGTAAATCTCAGGAACCTTTGTGTTTCGGTCTAATTACAGGCATTTCTAGATCATGGCCTCCCTTCTACTCAGGAGAAACTGTTGTCTCTTATGAATAAGGTATATATGTCAATGTCAGTGAAAAGTCTACATTAACAACTGAACAATGTTTTTGATTTTCTGAGTTATGAAGCATGAACAGATATTTTCTCTTAGCGACTTTGTTAATTTAACTACGCAGCAACGTGTTGACACAGGCTGCAATGAATGTTGGCGGGATTGTACTGAACGCTCTTGCTATCGAACACTTTATTCTTCGGCACCCATCTGAATCAAAACATGTATGGTATATATACAAATACATTTTTTTTTATGCAACAATAACTTCTCAAATGCCTGCACTAGCCTTCTTTTTACTTTATTTTCTTTTCTAAGGCAGAAAGCTACCATGCAAATGCATTGTCTGTGTTTCCCTCTTTGCATGTGGAATCCGATTATTCCAAAACGAACAACTCACTATAGAGAATAAAAAAAGTAATCTGGGTCTCTGATTGGAAACTCAAACATTGATATTTCGTGTACTCATAAAACAGATGATGAATATTTGATTTCTTTTTCATCAATGACAAAGATTACTTATTTTATTCTTACTCCTTTTAGATGAGTAAAATTGTTGCATGTGACGTGTATAGATGTTCTTTAACACCCAACTAACTATATAGTTCACAAAAGGGTGCTGTGGACGAAAAGGAAGTGCTATTACGACATGCTTATGGTCTAGGATATCCAGAACCCAATGTCACCTTTGGTCTTTGTCGAGGCACCTGGTCCTCACCGGCAGTAAGTGTATTTAACAACCTTTGTTGAATCACATTGACAAAGACTTTTGTCTGATAAAGATATGTTACATATGTGGTGTTTGTTGCAGTTAAGGGTGTACACATCAGACGAAGTTGTGAACCAATTGGGGAGGGCTAAAGTGGAATACTTGGAAGCTTCAGTGGGTATCACAAACAAGAGAAAGATAGTTGTGCCAAAGCTTTTGGAGTGGCATATGCATGATTTTGCAGATGAAATGGAATCACTGTTAGAATGGATTTATAGCCAATTGCCACGCTCAGTTTCATTGAAGAGGGCCACCATGGAGAGCCTCATAAGAGAAACAAAAAATCCTATGTCTAAGATGGTGGAAATTCAGCCATATGAATCTGAATTCCGCTATCTCCTTCCTATATAAATAAGAAAGTAAAAAGCCACACTTTTACCTTTTGTTTTCAGAAAAATTTTCAGTAAGTAGTGAAGTCTCTGTATGTTTGATTATATAGTTCAATTTAAGTTTCGTTAATTAGCTTAAATTTATGAACATTGCTATAAAGTGAGAAAGTTTTGACAAGAATTTTAACGAATTGAAAATCGATCAACTTAAGGAGAAGAGATCATAAAGGAGGGCAAGGAATGTGTGTGGAGTTGGAAGAAACGGCTAGCACAGAAAGAATTTCATGGTTCTGATTGTATTTGAAAAATAAAATAAATTGAGAGGCATTGTATTTCCGGAAGAATTGAGAAGGGATTAATTCTGTAATCCAACACAGATTACTATCACTACTTTTGGGTAATAAGATTTTTTTTTTTAAATTTTGTCATTGCTGTATTGAAGATTGACTTTGATAGTTAGGAAGTAATGTATCTTGTGGACTATACTCTTTTTGATTTTACCAAAATCTTATTCTGTTATGCAAATGGATGAGAAAAATTTAGATTTGCTCTTTGTTCTGTGCTGCTAAGGAAGGAAGTGAAGGATGTTTCTTTTGTTTTTGTGTTTGTTTTCTTAGTTCAAAGTTGCAACTTACTACTGATGGCGACTCTTTTTCTGGGATATATTTTGCTGCATACGAGGGAATATTTATTGGTTTATACAAAACTTATGATATAATTCATTTATTTAAAATGCTAACAGTAAACGAAGTCGTCTTAGCTCAGAGGTAGAGCATGTGGCTTTTAACCACGTGGTCGTAGGTTCGATCCCCACAGACGACAATAGGTACTTGTGGATTTTTTATACTATTTTAATAGTTAAATTACTTGAATTATAAGGAAAATAAATAGCAGGCTTAAAACTTTAATTTTAACGGTAAAGGAAAATGAAGTATGTTTTTATAGTTAATGCTTATTAAATAGTGACATAATTCTTTTATTTAATATAATACAGTGTAGAGAACATTTTTTAGGTGACTTAAAGAAACAAACTATGTAAACATTTTGGATAAAAACATAAATTGACATATCTTAGATGCATAAAATAAGTGAAATTTTACAGTATAAAATATTCTTATTTTTTTTAATTTCTTTTTGTCAAATGCAGCTTAGATCACAAAACTCAAATGAGACTATTATAAGCTTCCGAAAAAAAAAAGAAGTCCGTTTATAGTGTTGAGCTTTGCCGATAAAGGATCAGAGGTTTACATGTTGCACTTTGAGAACGATTCCCCTGTACTAAAACTTCACCTACTTATTTGTTTGGATTGAAGACAGTAAAAAAGAAAAAAAAATTAATTAGATTAAAAAATATTGAATAAAAATGAATATATTTATTTATTATTAATATTTTTATTCTAATAATTTATCTTATTATAAGAAATATATATGAATATTAATAAAAAAGTTAATCAATTAGGGTAAATATCTATATTATATTTTTGACATGACCGATATATGAACGACATAATGATTATGTATTTACTTACCATGCAAATCCACTCAAAAGAAAATCTACGAATAAAGTTGAAAACTTCATTTTTCATCCTTGTAGGGTGATGATATTTGGATAAAAAAAAATACTCACCTAACAACTGAAATCAATAATAGTTTAATATATTTAGTTTATATTTTTACTTCTAATTTTAATATATATTATTGTATCATTAAAGAGTGGATTATAAAATATGTGCAGAGAGGTCAAAGTATTATTTTCATTTAAAATTTTGTAACATAGTATATATAGGCTGGACGCAGAATTACTTGTACAAAAATAATAGTTCTTTAATCGAAATGGTAATTTAATATTGCGTGACAGTGAAGTTCCTTTCCACAAAAAAAAAAAAGGAAACAAGAAAAGTTTAGAATAAACGTATCATTGGATAAATTTATTGAGTTAATTCATTCAATAATAGATAGAAGAGTAGCAAAACATATACTGATAAGAATTTGCTGACAAAAAAACATACGAATAAGAATTAGAAGATATAAAGTCAACGGAAATTAGAAATCAAACATTAAAGAGATTACAATCATTGCAATCCCCACCCTACCCGTTTCTTCTCCTTCCCAACAATATATAAAAAAGAAAAATCTGAAAGAATATTCAAAACAATTACTCGGACAGCATGAAAGTTTTTTAAATATACCGACTTATACCCACAAACCATTAAGTAAATTTCTATCCGAAATGAAATCTTATAAGTGGGTAACAGAAGGCTCAACTAAGAAATTGACAACCCTATTTAAGAAATTTAACCCAAATACGGTCTCTTCACAGTTAACTTTTATAGAAACAAGCAATGGGTCGCAGCATTTACCTTCAACAGTAACCGTAATTAAGCATGGCATTGAATTGCTCAAGATCTCACAGCTGAAACGCAAACACAAACCAGATGCATCATCCAGGTTGGTACCAACCGGCATATCCACAGACACAAGGGAAAGGTTTGCATTGCTTAGCATCTTCAGTGCTAACGTTTCACATATCACAAGGAATTTGTCCTCTGTCAAAGAGTTGCTTCCCTTGTTCAGCTTGAGAATGTGATCAGTAAAAGTGCAACTGTATGCAAATTATGCAAGAAAGTCAACTTTAGTATGACGACGATCAAACAACACGAAAGAAGTCTGGTCCCAAGAATGAAACAGGAAAAATATATGGGAGAAAATGTCTGAAGGTGCACGGAACATAAAAGCTCATAAGTAACAGATATAATATAAGTGATGATTAATACACAAAAATAGATTCTGTTTCTTGCGTCATTTAAATTACCAAGGCAAGCCAATCTCTACACAGTTTCTATTCAAATCAAGACGCAGCATTCCTTTACCCAACAAGAATTCCTTGACGACATTTTAGAGATGCTTTCCCAAGAAAGCCCCTAAAGTAAACAGAAATAAAACAAAGAGCTTGAATAAGTAATATCCACACGTTTCAAAATTTAAGCCTCCTTTATGTTTGACATGACGAAAAAGCCAAATTACTGAATAAATGGCCAAAAGACCAAAATAATTTAAATTCACTCATGTCCCCCATTTTAGTTATTAGAAGCTTCGATTTCTTTAGAGTTAAAATTTCCAGTTTTCTCCCTCACTCTCAACTTGCATATGGATGGCATATCACAAGAATTTGACCGATACCTAACCCTTTATCATAGTATTTAAGTTTTCAACATAATTAGTAAAATCCAAGGGCTATCGTCTACGGTAAACGATGAATCATAATTTTTCCTACAACTACAAGGCACATGAACAGATGTATCCAACAAATAACAATTGACAGCCATACCTCCTCACGTATTCAAACATCCCAGGAAGATGAGATTCCTTATCTCTGAAATCTTCAATACTGATGGGAAGTGGTTTTACAAAGTATCCTATGTCAGGCTTTAACTTGACAGGGAATTTCTTGTCATTGCAAAATAAAGCCAGTTTTAGAGGCAAAAGGTGGTGATGGAAACGAACTAGTAGCATCCGGTTTGCTGTCTGACCAGGATCCAGAGAAGGGATCTCCTCCATGGAAACCAATGCAGGTTTATCGACATGAAATTTCAAGGTACTGCAACAGAGACATAAAAGTAGTCTAAGCACTTCTAAGATAGCATGTAAAGACTTCACATGGGTAAACTAGCCTGTTCACATACCAAAGTTTACACAATGTACAGGCAATCTAAATTCAAATTTTCACCCTAAAGTGATAAGTGCTGATTTATGAAAACAAGTTAAAAAAAATAAAAAATAAAAATAAAAATACACGTTCTTAGAACACATTAATAACACAAATAAGTGTATAAAATCTAAATTATAAAAGATGAAAACAGAAGACAACCACCATACAAAATCAGAAAAGATTAAAACTTACTTTTCGGTTGGTGATGATATTTGATCAGTGGAATCAGAGCTTTTGCTATGATCTTCGTCTATCAAGACTATATCAAGCATGGGCTCCAGAGAACAATTTTCAAATAATACTTCCAAACATACAAGGTGAGAGGATATGGTAGAAGTATCGGATGAAAATGAATAATTCACTTTTAACCCATTTCCATTTGCAGGGTCTAAGAGAGTGTGGCATTTGGGTTTAACTCGGCTTCCAATATTTCCAATGGTTATTCGTGCTGAAGATCTACGTACTCGGCTTTGTTCTATATCACTTCCTTTAGATGACCTCGTTGGTTCATCTAACCAAGACTCAAGAGACTTAGTTGACATCAAATCCTGAAAACCTGCTGTGCCAGAGGTAGCCCCACCATTCTGATTTTCGTGGACATTGCCTGTGTCTGAAATCTGAATCAATGGATCAACATTATCTTCAGCTTCATTGCCAGAAACAGATTCATCACTGCCACTAATGTCGCCTGAAGCAGTAATAGACTGTTCAGAACTATAATCTGAAGCACTTTCCTCATCCAAAGGCCCGGATGTGCCAGTATCCTCCTCATCTGAATCACTCTTAGCAGCTCCATCATACTGATCAAGATCAGTGTATGGCAGGCTACAAGGTTTTGGGAGAGGCTCATATCCTGGAGCTGCATGGAATACCAACTGTGAAAGTGAACCAGGGAGATAAAATCGGTAATCAATGGGTTCAGATGGAACTTTCACGGCTTTTGTCTCCCCAAATATGCATTCTGCAGGTATATAGGACTGTTTAGTTTTTTCTGGTTCACTATTTGCTTCTTCCCCATACTCCAAATTACTAGAGAGAATTTTCTTTAAGAAACGTGCACGATCACGAATATCATAATTAAGGTCACACTCAGCCAGTTCAATTACATAAGTCCAAATTTTTCTCACAGTCAAACTATCTTCCCCCCTAATGCACATTAAGACCTGTCACCAAAAGACATTTAAATCATAAACTTGTCACTTTCAATGGAACTTTTTCTCACCTTTTTTTCTTATAGAAGAAAGAAAAGCACTAACAGACATGCACATAAAGTTCAGAAAAATAAAGCAAGGTCCTGAGTTCTAAATCAGTCGTTGTATGGTTGATAGGTTCTTGGATCAAGAACCTATGGAAAAACACTCGAATACACACAAAGACAATATATCTGAATTATACAGCCTCCTTTTATTGAAAAAGAATCAGTAAGAATGGTGTTACAACGTAACCAGAGAGCTTAACCTCCCTCCAAAGAACTACAAGAGTTCCCGCCAAACAATAACACTCAAAGACTCCCCCTCTCACCAACCAACCCACCCCTTTTATACTGACTTACCTAACTGCCAGGCAGTTAGGCTGGGTAATGTTTCTTCTTCTACTAGATACAATTAGTTCCCTAACAANTTTAGATGAGTAAAATTGTTGCATGTGACGTGTATAGATGTTCTTTAACACCCAACTAACTATATAGTTCACAAAAGGGTGCTGTGGACGAAAAGGAAGTGCTATTACGACATGCTTATGGTCTAGGATATCCAGAACCCAATGTCACCTTTGGTCTTTGTCGAGGCACCTGGTCCTCACCGGCAGTAAGTGTATTTAACAACCTTTGTTGAATCACATTGACAAAGACTTTTGTCTGATAAAGATATGTTACATATGTGGTGTTTGTTGCAGTTAAGGGTGTACACATCAGACGAAGTTGTGAACCAATTGGGGAGGGCTAAAGTGGAATACTTGGAAGCTTCAGTGGGTATCACAAACAAGAGAAAGATAGTTGTGCCAAAGCTTTTGGAGTGGCATATGCATGATTTTGCAGATGAAATGGAATCACTGTTAGAATGGATTTATAGCCAATTGCCACGCTCAGTTTCATTGAAGAGGGCCACCATGGAGAGCCTCATAAGAGAAACAAAATATCCTATGTCTAAGATGGTGGAAATTCAGCCATATGAATCTGAATTCCGCTATCTCCTTCCTATATAAATAAGAAAGTAAAAAGCCACACTTTTACCTTTTGTTTTCGGAAAAATTTTCAGTCAGTAGTGAAGTCTCTGTATGTTTGATTATATAGTTCCATTTATGTTTCGTTAATTAGCTTAAATTTATGAGCATTGCTATAAAGTGAGAAAGTTTTGACAAGAATTTTAACGAATTGAAAATCGATCAACTTAAGGAGAAGAGATCATAAAGGAGGGCAAGGAATGTGTGTGGAGTTGGAAGAAACGGCTAGCACAGAAAGAATTTCATGGTTCTGATTGTATTTGAAAAATAAAATAAATTGAGAGGCATTGTATTTCCGGAAGAATTGAGAAGGGATTAATTCTGTAATCCAACACAGATTACTATCACTACTTTTGGGTAATAAGATTTTTTTTTTTAAATTTTGTCATTGCTGTATTGAAGATTGACTTTGATAGTTAGGAAGTAATGTATCTTGTGGACTATACTCTTTTTGATTTTACCAAAATCTTATTCTGTTATGCAAATGGATGAGAAAAATTTAGATTTGCTCTTTGTTCTGTGCTGCTAAGGAAGGAAGTGAAGGATGTTTCTTTTGTTTTTGTGTTTGTTTTCTTAGTTCAAAGTTGCAACTTACTACTGATGGCGACTCTTTTTCTGGGATATATTTTGCTGCATACGAGGGAATATTTATTGGTTTATACAAAACTTATGATATAATTCATTTATTTAAAATGCTAACAGTAAACGAAGTCGTCTTAGCTCAGAGGTAGAGCATGTGGCTTTTAACCACGTGGTCGTAGGTTCGATCCCCACAGACGACAATAGGTACTTGTGGATTTTTTATACTATTTTAATAGTTAAATTACTTGAATTATAAGGAAAATAAATAGCAGGCTTAAAACTTTAATTTTAACGGTAAAGGAAAATGAAGTATGTTTTTATAGTTAATGCTTATTAAATAGTGACATAATTCTTTTATTTAATATAATACAGTGTAGAGAACATTTTTTAGGTGACTTAAAGATACAAACTATGTAAACATTTTGGATAAAAACATAATTTGACATATCTTAGATGCATAAAATAAGTGAAATTTTACAGTATAAAATATTCTTATTTTTTTTAATTTCTTTTTGTCAAATGCAGCTTAGATCACAAAACTCAAATGAGACTATTATAAGCTTCCGAAAAAAAAAAGAAGTCCGTTTATAGTGTTGAGCTTTGCCGATAAAGGATCAGAGGTTTACATGTTGCACTTTGAGAACGATTCCCCTGTACTAAAACTTCACCTACTTATTTGTTTGGATTGAAGACAGTAAAAAAGAAAAAAAAATTAATTAGATTAAAAAATATTGAATAAAAATGAATATATTTATTTATTATTAATATTTTTATTCTAATAATTTATCTTATTATAAGAAATATATATGAATATTAATAAAAAAGTTAATCAATTAGGGTAAATATCTATATTATATTTTTGACATGACCGATATATGAACGACATAATGATTATGTATTTACTTACCATGCAAATCCACTCAAAAGAAAATCTACGAATAAAGTTGAAAACTTCATTTTTCATCCTTGTAGGGTGATGATATTTGGATAAAAAAAAATACTCACCTAACAACTGAAATCAATAATAGTTTAATATATTTAGTTTATATTTTTACTTCTAATTTTAATATATATTATTGTATCATTAAAGAGTGGATTATAAAATATGTGCAGAGAGGTCAAAGTATTATTTTCATTTAAAATTTTGTAACATAGTATATATAGGCTGGACGCAGAATTACTTGTACAAAAATAATAGTTCTTTAATCGAAATGGTAATTTAATATTGCGTGACAGTGAAGTTCCTTTCCACAAAAAAAAAAAAGGAAACAAGAAAAGTTTAGAATAAACGTATCATTGGATAAATTTATTGAGTTAATTCATTCAATAATAGATAGAAGAGTAGCAAAACATATACTGATAAGAATTTGCTGACAAAAAAACATACGAATAAGAATTAGAAGATATAAAGTCAACGGAAATTAGAAATCAAACATTAAAGAGATTACAATCATTGCAATCCCCACCCTACCCGTTTCTTCTCCTTCCCAACAATATATAAAAAAGAAAAATCTGAAAGAATATTCAAAACAATTACTCGGACAGCATGAAAGTTTTTTAAATATACCGACTTATACCCACAAACCATTAAGTAAATTTCTATCCGAAATGAAATCTTATAAGTGGGTAACAGAAGGCTCAACTAAGAAATTGACAACCCTATTTAAGAAATTTAACCCAAATACGGTCTCTTCACAGTTAACTTTTATAGAAACAAGCAATGGGTCGCAGCATTTACCTTCAACAGTAACCGTAATTAAGCATGGCATTGAATTGCTCAAGATCTCACAGCTGAAACGCAAACACAAACCAGATGCATCATCCAGGTTGGTACCAACCGGCATATCCACAGACACAAGGGAAAGGTTTGCATTGCTTAGCATCTTCAGTGCTAACGTTTCACATATCACAAGGAATTTGTCCTCTGTCAAAGAGTTGCTTCCCTTGTTCAGCTTGAGAATGTGATCAGTAAAAGTGCAACTGTATGCAAATTATGCAAGAAAGTCAACTTTAGTATGACGACGATCAAACAACACGAAAGAAGTCTGGTCCCAAGAATGAAACAGGAAAAATATATGGGAGAAAATGTCTGAAGGTGCACGGAACATAAAAGCTCATAAGTAACAGATATAATATAAGTGATGATTAATACACAAAAATAGATTCTGTTTCTTGCGTCATTTAAATTACCAAGGCAAGCCAATCTCTACACAGTTTCTATTCAAATCAAGACGCAGCATTCCTTTACCCAACAAGAATTCCTTGACAACATTTTAGAGATGCTTTCCCAAGAAAGCCCCTAAAGTAAACAGAAATAAAACAAAGAGCTTGAATAAGTAATATCCACACGTTTCAAAATTTAAGCCTCCTTTATGTTTGACATGACGAAAAAGCCAAATTACTGAATAAATGGCCAAAAGACCAAAATAATTTAAATTCACTCATGTCCCCCATTTTAGTTATTAGAAGCTTCGATTTCTTTAGAGTTAAAATTTCCAGTTTTCTCCCTCACTCTCAACTTGCATATGGATGGCATATCACAAGAATTTGACCGATACCTAACCCTTTATCATAGTATTTAAGTTTTCAACATAATTAGTAAAATCCAAGGGCTATCGTCTACGGTAAACGATGAATCATAATTTTTCCTACAACTACAAGGCACATGAACAGATGTATCCAACAAATAACAATTGACAGCCATACCTCCTCACGTATTCAAACATCCCAGGAAGATGAGATTCCTTATCTCTGAAATCTTCAATACTGATGGGAAGTGGTTTTACAAAGTATCCTATGTCAGGCTTTAACTTGACAGGGAATTTCTTGTCATTGCAAAATAAAGCCAGTTTTAGAGGCAAAAGGTGGTGATGGAAACGAACTAGAAGCATCCGGTTTGCTGTCTGACCAGGATCCAGAGAAGGGATCTCCTCCATGGAAACCAATGCAGGTTTATCGACATGAAATTTCAAGGTACTGCAACAGAGACATAAAAGTAGTCTAAGCACTTCTAAGATAGCATGTAAAGACTTCACATGGGTAAACTAGCCTGTTCACATACCAAAGTTTACACAATGTACAGGCAATCTAAATTCAAATTTTCACCCTAAAGTGATAAGTGCTGATTTATGAAAACAAGTTAAAAAAAATAAAAAATAAAAATAAAAATACACGTTCTTAGAACACATTAATAACACAAATAAGTGTATAAAATCTAAATTATAAAAGATGAAAACAGAAGACAACCACCATACAAAATCAGAAAAGATTAAAACTTACTTTTCGGTTGGTGATGATATTTGATCAGTGGAATCAGAGCTTTTGCTATAATCTTCGTCTATCAAGACTATATCAAGCATGGGCTCCAGAGAACAATTTTCAAATAATACTTCCAAACATACAAGGTGAGAGGATATGGTAGAAGTATCGGATGAAAATGAATAATTCACTTTTAACCCATTTCCATTTGCAGGGTCTAAGAGAGTGTGGCATTTGGGTTTAACTCGGCTTCCAATATTTCCAATGGTTATTCGTGCTGAAGATCTACGTACTCGGCTTTGTTCTATATCACTTCCTTTAGATGACCTCGTTGGTTCATCTAACCAAGACTCAAGAGACTTAGTTGACATCAAATCCTGAAAACCTGCTGTGCCAGAGGTAGCCCCACCATTCTGATTTTCGTGGACATTGCCTGTGTCTGAAATCTGAATCAATGGATCAACATTATCTTCAGCTTCATTGCCAGAAACAGATTCATCACTGCCACTAATGTCGCCTGAAGCAGTAATAGACTGTTCAGAACTATAATCTGAAGCACTTTCCTCATCCAAAGGCCCGGATGTGCCAGTATCCTCCTCATCTGAATCACTCTTAGCAGCTCCATCATACTGATCAAGATCAGTGTATGGCAGGCTACAAGGTTTTGGGAGAGGCTCATATCCTGGAGCTGCATGGAATACCAACTGTGAAAGTGAACCAGGGAGATAAAATCGGTAATCAATGGGTTCAGATGGAACTTTCACGGCTTTTGTCTCCCCAAATATGCATTCTGCAGGTATATAGGACTGTTTAGTTTTTTCTGGTTCACTATTTGCTTCTTCCCCATACTCCAAATTACTAGAGAGAATTTTCTTTAAGAAACGTGCACGATCACGAATATCATAATTAAGGTCACACTCAGCCAGTTCAATTACATAAGTCCAAATTTTTCTCACAGTCAAACTATCTTCCCCCCTAATGCACATTAAGACCTGTCACCAAAAGACATTTAAATCATAAACTTGTCACTTTCAATGGAACTTTTTCTCACCTTTTTTTCTTATAGAAGAAAGAAAAGCACTAACAGACATGCACATAAAGTTCAGAAAAATAAAGCAAGGTCCTGAGTTCTAAATCAGTCGTTGTATGGTTGATAGGTTCTTGGATCA